CGGACTGTGGCAAGTTCAGAGTCCATTTTTGGTTGATGGTGCATTTTACTGGTGACACACTCCTCTCTCTCTCCCATGGCCTGCTTTGCCTCCACTTCTCTCTCCTCTCCTGACGTGGCTCCTGGGCTCCGCTCTACATTTTTCTCTTCAGTTTGGCCCTTTGGGTTGGCCACATGACTCTCTGCACTCTTGTGAGCTGTTGGTCTTCTGCCAGCCCTGCGCCCTCTCTCTCTGTGCAGCATGCTGATTGGTGGATAAGGACTGGCTGACATGAGTATGCTGTTGGAGTGAAGTTCGTCCAGGGTGGGACGGTGGACGTAGACGTCGTGGCCGTCTGGCATGCGCTGACGACCTCTGAAGGCCATTGGGTTGGATGGGTATGGCATGGGATTGTCAATTCCCATCAGTCCCTTCTGGTGGGCATTTTCCATCTCCTTTTGATGTAATATGGCATTCATCTCCATTCTGAGCAAGAGGGCATGCAAATATTTAGTATAGTTATTTAACTGGGCAGCAATGATGATGATGACACACATTACTGAAGGGTGTCAGTTTTATCCAGCAAACTATGATGCAGACTGTCACGTTGGTGGAATGATGATATTCTGCGTGCACTACCTGGCTATGTTTTGCTTGTGAATGAGCTCCTGTCGCCGGGCAACTGTTTCCATGGGCTCTGAGGGCAAAAACCCATAGCCAGCTGAAAAGGAGAGAGATGAGCTGTTAGCACCCATTCTCATTCCTTGAGACGTTACAGACTGTCTGGGAATCCTGTCAAGCATGAATGTGTCCTGCTCACCTGCTCCTGGGAAGGCTCTTCCAGGCAGGACATTGGCATGTGGGGGCAGAGGTGGACCCACAGGAGGTCCCATGTGGATCTGTCTGGCCTCAGAAGCTACCATCTCAGTGGGGGGAACTAACTCCCTAAGGAGAGAAAAGCATCATCTGTCATCTGGACATGATAAAGGACTAAAAAGTTACAGACAATCAACTGTTTGCATTTTTAACATCTGCTGTTTTGTTAGTAGCTGAAGTATATTTTAAAAACTGTTTCATTCAGAAAGGAAGCATGGCTGGATTAACCTTCTGGGGGGGGGGGCAGGGGCAAAAAATTTGGCCATAGACCCAAGTTATATGGAGTGAACCACTTCCACCAAGTCAACGAGCCCATTTTACCTGGTTGGTAATTCTTTGTCAAGTAGCCATGTCTTCTTCTTTACAACTGTAACTGACAACTCTCAGGGAAGCTCCCTTCCATAAAACTGCTATTTTAGACGTAAGAATGAGTTCAGGTACAGACCTCTCTATGAAGCGAGGTTCAAACTGTGCAGGAACCCCCTGCAACCTCTGCTGTCCCTGGGTGAGGATTTGTGGGGCCATGGCCATTTGGTTTCTCATCATCAGCTCCTGCCTCTGCCTTAGCTCTGCAAAAGAAGAAAGGGCACCACCGGTCAGTGGGAGGCCTGATCAGCCATTATGCTTTAAACATAGTCTGAGTGTGAAAGCTAGAAACTGCAGGTATTAGTGAGAGGGTTCACTAAAACCACTCCATGGCAGACAAGGTCACAAAGTAGGTCTGGGCCTCCAAATTTGGGCCAAAATACAGTCAATTTAGATGGTATCAGCTTATTGTGATTGTCTCAGTTGTGCATCTGTTTTATTCACTAAATTATGTTTGCTTTGTTTTTTATTCAAGGCACATTTTTGGTGTTATGTTGCTTAGTCTCATCTGTTTTCCTTTCTCACCTCCAGCTGACATGCCATTGACCAGACGATACCAGTGCTTCTCATCCAAAGCCCCCTGCTCTCCAAGCGCTGTCATCTTCCTCAGCTGCTCCCGTGGGGTCATGACACACACGACCTTTGACCGCCAGGTGAATACTGTTGAAGTTTAAAAAGAGGGTCAAATAAAGAACTGTGTTCTTATAAAGTGGAAGAAGACAACTACTTTGTCAAATTTGTCCTATAACTCTGAGTGTAATGCAATATTATTGGAGAGCTGTGGCAGTAAAGAAGTTACATATTCATAGAAACTGCAAGATTGCACAAGTTTATCATAGTTTAAATTTTAATAAGTGATACTGAAAAGTTATAGTAAGATGCTGTACAATGTCCAGCAGTCCTGTGTACGTTTTTTGTAATTTCCTTAAACTACCACTAGAGTGCAGCGGTTTTCTGTCTCACTCAAGACAACAGTTGGATTTAAATGAAGATTACTGAACTAATTTTTTCCACCAAAGGCTCCAACCCAGCCCAACCCCATGCTATATATTTGTACCTATACAAATCACCATTTATTAAACAATCAAAACAGAGACATTTAAAAACTGCTCTTATGGGACCCATGTACAGTATGTACACAGACACTGGTCTCTAACCTTTGACCCCTATTGTCACCTTTTATCTCAGTATTAACTGGAACCCTCACCTTAACGTAAACCTAATCCTAAACTTAAATTTAACCTATAAATCCAAATCCTAACATTAAAGATATGAAGACCGGTAAAAACAGCCCTTTACTGGAGGATTCATCTCATCTATCATTAGGCCCCAGATGTCCACATTGTTCTTGGCTAAGCCAGCAGCTTGTGTACACAAGCACGATCAACTTGAATATCTCCAAATAGCCCTCTACACTGCAGAAATCTCATTTCAAAATATGACTGTAATCGACAGTGAAATAATCCCGCTCTGCTAATCCAGTGTGTCCAGTGTGCAGTATGCTTCTGGACAGATTCATATGAATCTGAGCTGCATAAAACATCACCAACCAGATAATATTATTAAATAAGATACTAGTTTATACTTATTACAATTGTATGG